TTCAGAGAAGTAAAACTATGAGTGATAAAGGGAAGGAGTTCTATGATAAAGTTTAGATCTTATGCAATGGTGAGAACTGGAGAGGGAACCTCTGCAATGCTGATGTCTCTGGCTCTGGGTTGATGTTGAAACCATTATGTGTCAACCAGATTGACAGGTGGGAAAAGGAGTCAGACATGTACAGCAGTAAGAAATGGAAATCAGAAAGGATGAACCCATTAGGCCAATTTGGAACCTATGAGTGTCTCTCATCACTTGGACATTTTCCTCTGGATAACCTGGAGTAGGGGCTAGCACCTGTTTCCATGGGCTGTGCATGTTCTTATTCAGGACTCAGACCAATGGAGAAGAGCTGGCAGGATCCAGAATTGCTGTGGGTTCAGGTGCTGCCTATACCAATAAAGTGATCAATGACAGTGTACACATATCATTGATAATGTAAATGAGCTATAGCAGCATCTGATCTCTCAATGATCTTCAAAGAATAACAAAATAACTGTCTCCACTTCCACTTTTTAAAACCTTGTGCAAATATTAGCTAAAGAGACATACAAGGAGAGAATAAGAAGGGAAATATTATTCTAATTTATAGCTAAATTGACAAAATGCAAAGCCACTGCACTCTACCACTTGTCATATTGGTACCTGTATACACTTAACCACATATATCAAACTTTGAAATAAAGACAATATAAAATTATGCTTTCAGATAATACGATGCAGCTGTCTCATGTGTAACTGAAAACACAGTAACCCTGTCCCCAAGAGAGGATACAAAATTCTTGTATCCATCTTTGATATTCATTTATTTTATGAGTTTTATCCCCCTGTTGAATATCCTGATGTGTAAATTAATTAATATTTACACATCTTATGTTAGATGACAGGGAAATGGAGAAGAAGAAGAAAAAAAGCCACTTAGCTCACACATAAACATTTATATTAATATCAACATAAGAAAAATATCCTAATTATTATAGCTCTCATTTCTGCAATGGGTCATGCACTGATAGCTGGTATTCATAACTTTATTTTTTTCCACTGGCTATTTTGTCCTCAGCAGTCAACTCAGTTGATTATAGTTCTTTCCTAGTAGGGTAGCCCTAGCCTTCATTGTTGAAGTGTTGGGTGATCAGTCTTGCTTCTATTAAATTGCTAAAGTTTTGATCGGTTTTAATCATAACATATAAAAGTACTATCAAGTTACCCCAGAGGATCTCCTACTTAAAAGACATTCCCCTCAATATTTGTGTTATGCTATAGCAACTCAATTGTCTTTTGAGTTAAAATTAATGATCCCAGCCAAATAGTAATCTCCTCTTCACAGGTTTACTCACTGGAATGATGAGCCAACGTGGCCAGGTGGTAGCTTAAACTTTGTTTAATAGAACTATTTCTGTGTGTCCCGGTGGAGGAAGAAGGAGGTACTCCTTCTTCAGTAATGAAGGCCTTTAGTCCAGAGAAACTGAGAGTCATAAGGATTGGAAGCAAATATTTCAGCCATTACTAGATCTTTAGAGGTAAATGTTTAAAAAACCACGCTCTTTATACCTCTTGATTTCCACATCCATGAATATTATCAACAGGCAAAAATAGCACCATATGTTGGCCACTGAGTTAGAGCATAGATCACATTCTAGTGACATTATCCCAGCCCTGCAAGGGATAATGTAGGGCTGGGATAATGTCATCATGAATGAGTCTCATCATGAATGAGTCTCCAAAAGGCCATTCTACTACTCTATCAGAGTTTTAGGGTGATAGAAACATTGTAAGTCCAGTGACTTCTATGTCTATGGGCCCATTGCCATGCTTCACTGACTAGGTCAGAAGCTATGCTATTTAGATCATCATGACTGTGAATAAGGCATTTTATAAGTTCATGGACAGTGGTTTTGGCAGAAGTGTTACAAGCACGAAGGCAAATTCATCTCCAGAATAACTGTCTTCTTTCTAGAGAGAACAAAGTGTGCTCTTCTATGATGGAAGTGGTCCAATATAATCACCTGGTAGCTGGCCAGCAGGTAGTTGGCTAAATCTTTCTGGGAATGCAATAGTAAAAAATATTGTTGGTTTCTACTGTTGGCATGTTGGGCACTGTCACTAGATCAGCCTTAGTGAGTGTATTAGAGTTCTCCAGAGAAACAAACCAATTAGATATCTATTTAGGAAGATATTTATTTTTAAGAAATTGGTCATGCAATTTTGGAGACTGGGAAGTCCCACTATCTGCCATGTGCAAGATGGAGGTTAAGAAAAAACAATTGTTTATCTTTTTAAACTTAATTAAAATCAATTGCCAAGAGCAAAGAGGACAGGAGAAGATTGATGTGCCAGCTTCTACAATTAGGCAAAAGGGTCTGAATTCTTCCTTCCTTTACTTCTTTGTTCTAGGCCTGCCTCAAAGAATTGAATAATGCCCACTCAAACTAGTTCATCAAATTAAATGCTAATTTAATTCAGAAACATCTTCACAAACAAACCCAGAAATAATGTTTAGCTCAATGTCTGGATACCTCGTGATCCAGTTAAATTGACACATAATGAACCATCACAGTGAGTGGAAATCCATGCTGCTAAGTACAAGCATAATCTACATGATGCTGCCACAGCCACTTTAGCAGTTCATTGGGGAAGAAACCAATCAGAAAAGTGGCTGATTGATGTCCATCAAAGGATAGTTTTAGACATCTGATTAATAATGTCCTCTTCTGCTGGAGAGCATTTTTTTGGTGAGCATTTATATGGAACACAAATATCTCTACATTCTGCCCATTTGGGATGTTCTTTCCATATACCTCTTTCTAAGATCTCCTATGGAGAATTTTCTAATTGTGTCCCTTCTAAATGCCTGATGGTCCAGCTAAACTATTAATCACTTTCCATGAATCGGATACTTCTGGCTATCCTTATAATTTCAGGATCTGCTTAAATATATCACTTCTATTTGGTTATGGAATGCTACTATGTAGACCTAGCTTTTTGGTTTTGTAGCTTAAACAATCTCAATAAATGATGGGCAGCTAAAGTCACAAGATAACTTTTGATTAAGCACTCTGTCTCTACCAGGGCCCAGTAGTGAGCCAGCATCTGTATCTTTAAAAAAAAAAAAGGGGGGGGGGGGCCTGGCTGGGAGTGTGGGCCAAAGTACCAAAGGGACAGGTTTGATTCTGTCAGGGCCACTTACTATCCTGGCTGTGTGCAGGGGGCAACCAATCAATGTGTTTCTCTCATATCAATATTTCTTTCTCTCTCCCCACTCCCTGCCTCTCTTATACTCTCTCTAAAATCAATAGAAAAAAATATCCTCAAGTAAGGATTAACAAAACAAAACAAAAACAAGTATAATTTTGCTCTAAAATCCTAAAGACCTGCATTCTCCTAGAGATTCTCGCTAAAGGCTCCTTGCAGGGTGCCTGTCTGCCTCAGATGTTTCAAGCACTGTCATAGGTGGATCATACAGCCTGTTTGACAGGGCAGCTGGCCGACAGCCTTGCGCATGTTGCAGCCTCTTCTTAATCTGTCCCCCACTCACTCGGTATGTTGGCTAATAAAACATTGTTCTGAGTTTAGGCTAATGGACGAAACTGGAGTTTTAAAAATTCAGCAGGTTATATAGAAACCTATGAAGCCTTTAGAAAAATAGCTAGTCAGCTTTTTCCTGGCCAATAACTTGCTCACATTGCTTTTTCTGATCACTTTGAGGATTATTTTATAATTTCTTTTCTTTTCTTTTTTTTAGTTTTCTATCAACCAAAAAGCTTAGAGTATTTTTAAAGATTTCAGATAAACTTTATTTTTAGAAAAAAATATCTATTTTTACCGAAAAGAAGTAAAGACAGTATAGAGAGTTCCCATACACTCCACATGCATTTTCTCTATTATTAATATATTTTACTAGTATAGTATTTTTGTCACAATTAGTGAACCAATATTTATATATTATTATTAACTAATGTCCCTTTTATAATTTTATAATATTTTTGTAGTTTTTAACCTAATGTCCTTTTTTATAATTTTTAATATTTCCATAGTTTTTTGCCTAATGCCCCCCCTTTTTTAAAATAATTTTATAATATTTCCTTAGTTCTTAACCTAATGTTCCTTTTTGTTTATTTGTATAAAGACCCCATCCAGGAAACCACATTACATTTAGTTGTCATGTGCCCTTTGGCTCCTCTTGTCTTAGACATTTATTTTTGATAACCTTGAAAGTTTTAAAGTTATTGCTCAGGTATTTGGTAGAATATCCTTCAAAGGGATTTGTCTGATATCTTTCTCATGCATTGATTGGGGTTATGTGTTCTTGGGGGGAAAACCATAGAGGTAAAATGCCATTCTCATCTCATCTTCTGAAGGGTACATACTATCAACATGACATCACTCTATAGCTTAACCTTGATCACCTGGCTGAGGCAGTGCTTTTCAGGTTTCTCCACTATAAAGTTACTCCTTTTCTCCACTGTAAAGTTACTCCTTTACCCCTTCCCAGTCAGTACCATTGGGGTGGAAGTCACTATGAAAAGCCCACACTTAAAGTGTGGAGAGTTTTACTCCCCACTCAGGTGAAGTATCTACATGAATTATTTGGAATTCTAAATGAGAAACTTTTCTCTTTCCCTTAATTGTGATTTATTCAGTATTTTATTGAAAAAGTATGTGTTCATAATTATTTATTTTGTATTTTGTTATAATATGACTAGTGGCCCTGTGCACAAAATTCATGCACAGGGGGAGTGTTCCTCAGCCCAGCCTACACCCTCTCCAATCTGGGACCTTTTAGGGGATGTCATCCCTCTTGCAATGTAGGATTGCTGACTCCTAACCATTCACCTGCCTCCTTGCCTGATCGCCCCTAACCACTCTGCCTGCCAGCCTGCTCATCCTCAACTGCCCCCCCCCCCACTGGCCTGCTCACCCCCAACTGCTCCTATTGCCAGCCTGATTGCCCTCAAATGCTCCCCTCCCCCACCTGCTCACCTCCAACTGCCCCCACTTGCCAGCCTGCTCAATCCTAACCACCTCTGCCTCAGCCCTGCTACCATGGCTTTGTCTCTAGAAGGATATTGGGAATGTCTCCTGGTCTAATTAGCATATTACTCTTTTATTAGTATAGATACTGTATTTTATTGTTCATATTGTTCTATCTTTGACAATTTTAGTTGGCCTCTGGGTTCCTTGGGCAAAGCACAATTATTGGGTTTTTTTTTTTGTTTTTTTTTTTAAGGGTATTTCCTTACTTTCTGTCACTACAAGAGATTCCAGGATCATCTTGTATATTTCGTGAAACAGTCCAAGTATTAGCTATTGCTCCAAAGGATCCATGGTTCCTGTTATTGGAGCATGGTATTAGAACGCAAGATCTGGGTGCTAGGTGTGCTCAATGTTTCTGTGGTGTCATTGTTTCTAGGCTCTCACAGCTGACAGAGCAAGAAAATACATTTCTTTAAACTAAACTGTATATGCACATATATCTATATATGCAACCATCTATAGCAATATTAAGGTAAATATGAGTTTACACTAATGAACTCTAATCCATTACCACATGGATTATTACCCTTGCTTTTCTGCAAACTCCCACTCCAAATATGAGAAACCTGACTTCCATTATCTGTCATACATTTCCCTATTTTATTCTATTCCAGCCTATATGTGTTATCGACTGAATTATTTTGTCCCCTTGAAATTTATATGTGGGAACCCCAACCCCTAATGTGACTGTATTTGAAAATAAGGACCTTAAGGAGATAATTAAGGTTAAATGAAGTCCTAAGGTTGATCCTAATCCAAGATTGGACTCTTTTTATAAGAATGGGGAGAGATTCCCTCCTCCACTCCCCACATCTTTCTTGCTCTCTTTCTCTCTATGCACACATGCAGAGAAGAAGCCATGTGAGTACATAAGGAGATGGTGGCCAGACAGACCTCACCAGAACCCAGCCCTGAGGACATCTTGACCTTTGACTTCTAGTGTCCAGAAATGTGAAAAAAACAGCTTGCTGTTTTGTAAGCCACAAAGTCTGTGATATTTTGTTATGGCAGCCTAAGCAGACTAATACACGTATAGTGGTTTCAAAATTGTTCACCATACATGTATTTCCTCAGGACACAACTTTATCAGCTAAAGTGCTGTGCTTAGGCACACCTTATTTGCTTTAGTCTTATAGTTGTTATGTGGGTCAACAGTTTCCCTCCCTACTCTCTTCAATGCAGTGATTTTATACATTTATTAGATTCTCTTGTCACAGTCCACATTCCATCCTAGGATTCTTCAACATCCAACGTTGGTATATGTATTAAGGTTTTATTCTTTATGCTGTCAAATATAACAGAGTTTGACCCAGGCATAGTGTCAGGTAGCATAGCCACGATTGTGGTATCAGACAGATGGTGTCACTTCCTTGAAAAATCCCCTGTGCTCTGCCTAGTCATGAACTTCTGGCAACCTCAGATCTGTTAACTGTCTCTATGGTTTGCCTTTTTCAGAATGTCATAAATTGGTCCTGCAGTTTTCAGTCTACTTTATTTCCCTTAGCAATATGAATTTAAGAATCGTCTGTGACTTTGCAGGCTTCATAGTGTGATAACCACATTTTCTAGTTTCTGTATTTGCTGCTTTGACATCTTGAGGCCTTACTGATATTTGGTGAGTTTGCCTCTCCCAGGGTTAGGTAATTCCTGACAGATCTGAGGTTGCCAGACCTATACCACACCTTTCATATGCAAAGTTACAAAGGTAGAGCTCATACTCCTAACTGCCTACTGTGATGAACTCTTATATTTCAGGCCACTACCTCTTGCCCCAATCACTCAGGGTCAGGCACTAGATAACTAGGGACAGCCTGACATCCCAGAGTGACCTGAAATTATTCAAACTAGCTAACCCTTAACCTACATAGCCTGCTTACCCTGCCTTGTGTGCCCCTAGTGGTCAGCACACATTATAGTGACCTGTTGTTTGACTGTTCCACCTTTTGGTCGATTTGTATATTAGTCTTTTATTATATAGGATTTGCACAACTCATCAAGTAATATAATGCAATTTGAAACTAGACCTGAATAAGTTGTAAATATATATATTGCAAGCTCAATGGTAACTTTTCAAATTTTTAAAAAGAAATATAATTGGTATAGTAATAGAGAAGACAAAATAGAACCATATAATGCTCAACTAAAACCAGAGAAGGCAAAAAAGAAAGACAAAAAAGAAAATAAAAGACAATAAAGGAAATAAAAACAAACAATATAAGTATTACCCAAATATATAAAAAATCACTTTAAATGTTAAAGGTCTAAACGTATAAATTAAAGGACAGATATTGTCATAGGGAATAAAAAATAACAACACCCAGTGTATGTTGTGTATAACACACCTATTTTAAATACATGATTATTTGATTTTTGTAATAACACTGGAATGAACATAGGGATACACATTTTCTTTTGAATTAGTGTTTCAAGTTTCTTTGGGTCAATTCTGAGAAATGGAATTGCTGGGTCATAAGCAATTCCATGTCTAATTTTTTGAAGCAATGTCATATTGCTTTCCTCCGTGGCTGCACCAGGCTGCATTCCCACCAACAGTGCACAAGGGTTCCCTTTTCTCCACATCCTCAGGAACACATTTTTGTTAATTTCTTGATGATGACCATTCTGACAGATGTAAACTGATATCTCATAGTGGTTTTAATTTGCATTTCTCTCATTATTAGTGACATTGAGCATCTTTTCATATGTCTATTGGTCATCTGTATGTCCTCTTTGGAGAGGTGTCTATTCAGGTCCTTTACCTAATTTTTAATTAGATTGGGGGGGTTGGTGTTGAGTTTTATGTACAGATGATGTGTTGTAGAATTGTGCACCTGGAACTAGTGTCACCCTAATAAATTCAATAGAAGGGGAAAAAATAAAATGATTGTGTAGATAAAATAAGCAATAAAAAAACAAAGAGATAATCATTTGAAAAGTAAAGGTATGAAGAAAGTTATACCATGCTAACAATAATCAAAAGACATCAAGAATAATTATATTACTATCAGATAAAGCAGCCTTTAGAACAAGGAAAGCCATCAATGTATTCCAGAGGTTCAAGAGGAAAAAGGGAGGGAATGAGTCGGTGGGGCACAGGGGATTCTAGGGGCTGTGGCACTGGTCTGTATGACAATGTAATGTGGATACATGACATTATTCATTTGTCAGAGCTCACAGAACTATGAGACACAAAGGGTGAACTCTAATGTAGACTGTGGGCTTTTGTTGACAATGATGTGACAATATTAGTCCATCAATTGTCACTCAGATGCACCACATTAATACAAGGTAGTAATAAGGGGCACTTTATAGGGGAGTCAAAGGCATATATGTGAACTCTGTACTCCAGACTGTAATCGGCCTCCTACCTGCCCCAGTGCCTGTAGACATGAAGCCACTTTCTATTTCAGAGCAGTTAGGGGAAACTTGTTTTCTAGAACCCTTATTCTCCCCTCCCCCAGCCCAACTGGTCTTCCTGGGTTGCTGGGTATCTGTTTACGTTAGTGACGGAACCCTTGGAGGGTTCTGAGTGGCCAATTGTGGCCCACAAGACACTGGCACTTGGAGGCAGAGCTGTGAGCCCTATCAGCCCTGGAGACCTGCTGTCTGCCACCGCATCCACCTCCCAGCGGGTCCCGGAGCTCCTGTGCTCTGCTCTGCTGGAGACTTCGGAGAGCTGGAGACATGTCCCGGGTCTCCGTTTCTTTCCCGGGGAGATCCCGGTCTGAGCTGTGTGCAGGTGTCTTTGGTCGTAAGGAGATGGCACACTTCAGGAATGTGAGGGCACTACACTGAAGGTGTTTTGCCCCAATGAAGTCTGTGGGAGACATCGTGAGAATATTGAACCCATGACATGTGCCCAGGACTCCCTCAGGTTGCCTGCTGTGGAGGCCAGGCTTTGTGCTCAGACCTGAGCACATTGTCACTTCAGGACAAGGTCCACTCTGCAAATGCATGGAAGAGCCGGTCTCCTAAACTTTCCCAGCTGACCTGAAAAGCCAACTCAAAAACGTCTGAGATTCATGAACACTTTAGAAGAAAACAATGAGTGATTTAATGAAACATTCATTTTTCAGAAAGTCTACAACTGCTCCACTAATATGAGGTGGTTAGTGAGTCCAGGAAAAGGAGCAGGAGAAAGACAGGCTGTGGCAGCTGAACACAGAAGCAGAGCAGGTTCTGAAGGATAAAATCAGCCAATTAATATCAAAGGCTGAAAAACTGCCACAGGTCATCCCTTTGCCTGATTTCCTTAGAAGTCACCTACGTCACATGAAGTGGCAGGTCCAATGAAACAGGGAAGCAGAAAATTGTGATCACCCTGTTCTTTGGTTGCAAGTTGATCTGCAGGGTGTCCCCGGTAATGCAGTCTTCAATGTGTCCCTTCAAAGTCCCGAAGAGGAAGAACACAAAATAGCCAGACAATTGTGGGAAGAAAAGCAAGTGAATGAAGAGCTCCGGGACATATAACCAATCTCCAATTTGAGGAAGCTTCTGTGCAGCATGAAAATTCAAACCTAGAAAGTGAGACTCAGCATCAGAAGCTGAAGCTTCAAATTCTGCCCGAGTCATATGAAGATCACTTAACACAATTTCAGAAAAAACTGGAGAGGAAATGAGCAGCTTAGAAATGGACAAGAAACATCTCAATGTGTCTGTAGATACATGCACTCCGCTTATCAGATTTGCAACTTACAGGAAGATGGCAGAAGACCTGGGCAAAGAACTGGAGAGAACCACTTCCTACCAAGGGAAAAAAGATTGTCTTCCATGCAAAAGGGCTTAAGAAAGCTGGAACACAGCCATGTGGGTTGGGAGAAAGCTCATGGAGGTGAGGAAAGAAAATGATCGCAACAGGCAAATGCTGGCCAAGGTCAAGTCCAAGGTCCAGCCTTTCCCAAGTGGCCCTGTTGCTCCACCCACAGCCCACAGAGACCCAGAAGAGTCAGGGGATTCCATGGGTCACTAGGACACCCAGGAAGGAGGAGGGTATTGTAGAAAGAGCTCAAGAATCCAGGGTCACCTGAAGGTTTGACTCAGTTTCTACGGAAGCTGGGTCCTGGACACACACAATCATGGCATTGTATTTGCATTGTTTGCTCTTTGTAATAATAGTAGTAATAATAATTTAATTACTCCCTTTTTAGTTTAGCTACAGTTATTTAATTGGTGCTACAGTTCCTCCTATTCAAATAGTCATAATATTATAATTTTAAGTTAGTATTTTAAAATAAATACCCATTGAACTGCCTTTGCACCTTTGTCAGAGTACTTACCTCTATTTGTGTGGGCCTATGTCTGCTCTCTTTATTCTATTTTATTGATTTACTAGAGGCCCGATGCAAGAAATTTGTGCAAGAGTAGGTCTTCCTTTCCCCAGCTGCTGGTAGCACTTCCCTCTGGCAACCAGAACCTGGGCTTCTCTCTGGCCACCAGCTGGCTCCTGGGACCCAAGCTTCATCCGGAAGGTCATCTGGAAGGACATCCAGTCTAATTAGCATATTATGTTTTTATTATATAAGAGATTTCTATTTTTATTTTTAAAATTTTTAAAAATATATTTTATTGATTTTTTTACAGAGAGGAAGGGAGAGAGATAGAGAGCTAGAAACATCAATGAGAGAGAAACATGGATGAGAAAGAAACAGCTGCCTCTTGCACACCCCCTACCAGGGATGTGCCCGCAACCAATGTACATGCCCTTGACCAGAATCGAACCCGGGACCCTTCAGTCCCCAGGCCGACGCTCTTCCACTGAGCCAAACCGGTTTCGGCTATAAGATATTTCTAGTCTCTTGCCAATAGTGTCTTTATTATTTTTAATATATATATTATTTTTAAATTATGGTTAACATAATATTAATTAGTTTCTGGTGTATCATATTGTATTATTGTAGCTTCCTGGTAACTTTTGAAATAGGATAGTTTGTGTCCTTAAACTTTATTCTTTTTCAGAATTGTGCTGTATTCTATATATTTTGTTTTATATCTGACTTTAAAATTAATGTTGATATCTATAATATAGTTTGCTAGATTTGAGATTGTGTTGAATCTATAGATCAAGTTAAGAAAAATTGATATCCTAATATTGTCCAGGCTATCATTCTGCAAGCATATAACAGCTCTTCATTTATTTAGATCTTTCTTCTTGATATTCTAATTTTTTAAATTCTTTTTTTTCTTCTCACATTTCAGGTGAGGAAGTTTATGCTGACCTATCTCTAAGCTCACTAATTTTTTCCTATGGTGGATCCTGTATATCAGTGAGTTTGTCAGAGATGTTTTTCATTTAGGTGGAGGTTTAGTGATGCTTAGTATTTCCTTTAGTTCTTTTTAACAGCTTCCATTTCATTTGTTGCTTATCAGTTCCTGCACATGGTCAATATTTATTACAGTTACTTTAAATTCTCTTTCTGATAATCCCAGAAGCTGAGTCCTATCTGAATCTGATTATGATGCATGCACTTTCTCTTTAGCTTGTGTTTTTCTCTTACCTTTTACCATGTTTTCTAATTTTTTATTGTAAGCTAGATAATTTTTTGAATAATATAAACTGAGGTAAATAGGCCTCCTGTGTGAACTTTTAAGTTAATCTGGGTAGATGTTAGGATGTGTTTAATATTTTCTCTAGTTATTGGTGCTAGGGTCTTCAAATTCCTATTGTGTCTTCATGTCTCTCTCT